TCTCTCTCTCTCTCTCTCTCTCTCTCTCTCTCTCTCTCTCTCTCTCTCTCTCTCTCTCTCTCTCTCTCTCTCTCTCTCTCTGCAGTTTAGCTCTTCTCTCCCATTTGGCTTGCTCCCCCTCTCTCTCTGCCTTTACCCTAGATCGTAACCCTGGATACACCCACTTTGGTAATCTTCATTCACTTGGCAGCTATGGCCGCCCTACTCCCTATCTCCCTCTACCCTAGCTATGAAGTAGTTCTCATGCGCCCCCTTCATCCTTCAGGCACGAAGTGCCCAAGTTGCCTCAACGCACAAGCAGCAGCAGCGCTTCCGCATCTTGAAATTGAACAAGTGATGAACCACTGCACTGTAGCAACTAAATATAGGACTTGACTTGGCTTGGCCTGATTCAGACCGGTACTGGTCAGCCACGGCATGTCTGCTGCAAACATTTTGTGGGTCCGGTAGCTTCCGGACTTTCCTGGGACATGCTGCAAATTTGGACTTGGGACTGCTGGACTGGACTGGACTTTTCTGTCGGGTACCGGACGGACTTCTATGGACGTTTCGGTACCGGCCCCTACCGACTTATAACGGCTCAGCCTATATTCCTGACGGCCTATCCTACCGGGACAGCCTGGGATTGGGACACTTCAGGATCTAAGGTCCAAGACTGGGGTGTCTGCAGCGTGAATCCTTTCACCAACGCCAACCTAATTTCAAGGTCCTCCGAGAAAAATCCTATTTTTGTCGGTCGTACACATTCATTCCCCTCCAGGGCCTCTCATAAAAGGAGACAATGTGAGGGGATGTCTGTATCAGTTCCTCCCTGGGGAGCCAGCGGTCTTCACTGGGTTCCTGATAGGCAACTCTAACCTTGTACAGTCTCTGTGGTCTCCCTCTGTGGTCTGTACAGACGACATCTTCGACCACTGTGTTATATCTACATCATAACCTCCGTCCATGTCCGGTGGTATCACGGAGCGACGAGAGGGAAACTGATTGTTCGTGGCGCAGGGAAGCAACTTAGACGCGTGGAATACCGGGTATGTGTGCAAATGGGATAGAATCTTGATAGTGTACGACGGACCATCTGCCTCTCCCTTGACATCTAATACTTGCCATAGTCCCCTATACGCAGGTAACAGTTTATGCGAGATCCCTTCTTTCGGAACAAACTCCTTAGACTTTACCCAGACCAAGTCACCTACCGCAAATTGCGAGGGGCCTCGGTGCTTGTTGGCCTGTTCCACCATAAGATGTTGGCCTTTAATTGTTCTTCTTCACCAGCTCCAGGTCTTTCTCATATTGAAAGGCAAATTCCCTCATATCGGTGTAGGGCCCCACCATGTCAGAATTTTGAGCCTACTCGACCCTTCAGACGGTCCCAGTTGGCTCAGCCCCGCCCACGTACATATCAAGGACACGGTGCGTTTGTCACAAGGTCACCCCCACCAACCTTGAATGAACACTCTCAGCCTCAATCCCTTCCTC